ATGGTGAAATATTCATGGTAGGCTGACTCATTAAGAAAAGAAGAAGAACCCTTTATTAAGTAAAAATCAGTCCAAGGTAAAGTATTCCTTATAATTAATTACTGTATAACGATGTTGTCTTCTGTGGTTACTGTTAAAGTAGTAATCCTGTTTAAGTGGCCCAGTCAACCCTAAAATCTAAAATGACAAAATGTTGCATAAAAATCGGGTTATTGCTGCAGTTCGTGTGTATTGGCTCACAGGGGCCCAGTGAGGAGTCGACTTCGGTGACCTTTTAACTTGCACTTTAACTGCCTTTGATGAAAAGCTTTTGTGGGAAGTCGCTTCCTTGAATCCATCGTAAGTCGCACTTTAAAAGTAGGATACCAAATGTTTAAAAACACGGACTTTAAGGGGAGCGGGGGGGCGGCGGGGGACGGCCGCCCATGCCTGTCTCTAATCACTGCAAGTATGCCTTTGTCCCTAGAGAGCGGATTACTTGATGACCTGGTTTTGGAAAAGGGAATAAACGCCTCAGGGCGGGTTTCCTCTCCAGCGTCCGATGATGGTCGCAGACAGTTGCTGCAAGTTATCTCAGTTTTGCCGTCTTTTGGTTTGGCTGACAAATCGGTAAAACTGTTGCTTTGTTTAGTCAAAGTAGACGCTTCTCTACCATTAGCTGTTTGCGTGTCTTTGCCCTATTTGTCATAGCTTGAGACTATGACTTGCAACCTTCTCACATGGTGATAATTGCATATTTATTCAAATTACTTTTCTTTATCCTGTTGGAGATTTTGGTACTCAATCTAATTGATATTATTGAGGGAAATTGACGGAAACATTCATCTTGCAGGATGTAATCTCACTGTCATTCATCCTTTGTCTTTCAAACATTTTCTCCTCCACTAAAGAAACGATCAATCTTCTTAAAAGTGCTCCTCCCTTTACCGAGATCTAATCTTAACTCTTACGGGAAATGTGGTAATTCTAAGAATTTTTCTTACAATTTCCTCACTAGGAGCAACTCATTGACCTAGAAAGCTTTGAGGACTAAGCTCTACATGAAATAAAGCAGCAGGCAATAGGGGCTCACATTTGATTTTAATTTCAGATAAGATCTTTCAATGCATAACATTCTTGTAAAAAATCCCATGTTTGTATATATAAAATATAAATCTTTTCTGCTTTTCTTTTCTTGTCTATTTTCAATCGCATTTGTTCATGTCTAGACAGCATCAGATAACGAATTGAAAAGTTGCCAGTAAAGAACAGACAACTCAATGAAATCATTGATTTTAAAATATTGATAGAGAGCCTTTCATTACCAACACAGACACTTTATTCAATGAAGGTTTGCAATCTGAAACAGTCATGCGGGAATAACCTTTCTTGCTCAGTGAGTGTGAAGATTTCAATCAGGCTCCTACTGAACCCAAAGTTATGAAGATACACCCAAGTATTACGTTTTTTGCGGCCCGCGGTAAACCCGTTTTGGGGATGTGGGGAGTGTGTCTGAGTGGCGTCTGTAATTGGTGATGAGCGATCGGCCTTCATGCAAAAATGATGAGGCAGGATAAGGAGGAAGCTGTTTGTTTAGACGCAGTTCAAGTCGAGCTAATTAACTTCAGTCAGACGTGCTTTGCTGTCAGCTTCCTTTGCCTTTAGTATTGGATTTCATATTATCAGATTCTACTGTGTTTCCATTCACCAGAAGAGTGGAGGGCAAATGTGTTGATTTAGTGCCCACTGTTTTTTTGGTGCTACAAGTGCATTGCAATGTCAAATGATAAAGTTATGCAAATGTTTCCCTTCAAATGCACATAAACGATTGTCGCCTGCCCTTTCGCCCTCTTCCCACACTTGGACTGGCATTACACACAAAAAGCGCTTCCTCTTTGACCCTGTGACGTCGCCGACACTGTAAAACTTAGTTAGGGACGGAAGCGAAACAGTTTATCGCATTCTGAATATTTTATTTAAGACCCAAGATCAAATATTTATACCCTAAATAAGGAACCGGCATCTCTCTGTCTTTGACTTTAAATGTTGGATTTTCCCACTAGAGCGCACACAAGTCACTGTTCGTCATCGCGCCTTCAGGTCGGTGCTTCAGTGCTTCACTCCCTTAACTCCCCCATTTCCTGACTTTGAAATGGGTGCCCAGGTGAGTAAAGCAAACCTCTGTAGTTAAATTTAGTCAGATATCTCCCAAAACACGGCGTCATCGGCTAATGAATAATGGCTTGTAGGTGCAGTCCCCCAAAGGACACAACGGAAGCACAAAGTCCCATCGTGAGGGTGGGGGAGGGGGGAGCGGTGGGCGGAGGGGGGGGTCGCCACCGCCAGGCGAAGCATTTAACACTCTGTGGTCCGTCGCCTTATTTGTTGGGACGCATGTCTCTGTATCATTACCATCCAAAGGTCGAGTGTGCCGACAGTAACCACGGGGATTGTGGCAACAGATGTATCGGGAAGGTCAGGTCCCGTCTGTCTGTTCGTGGAAAAGGTCAAAGCAAAGTCAGAAAAGGAGGAACGCTGGTTAGAATTGTGATGTTTCTGCCGTGGCTCTGTGCAGCTTCACTTTATGTCTGAGTTACTGAACCAACTTTTGCTTTTTAGACAAAAATGAAATCATAATCTGTCCTCCGGAGTTTATTCCGCTATCATTGAGTTGATCCGTTTTTTTCTGAAAAAAAGGATCATTCAGAATCTGTTAACAATTATTTTCGTTACATTTCATATCGGCCCAAAGATTGTAAATGGCTTCCAAAGACGTCTCGCTGTTCTGACCTTACCTTTGAAGTAACAGTGCGCCTCGTTCTATAGTGGACTTCCAGCTGATGTGGTGACCTTCTGCCTGCCATGTTGGAGGTCCTCACTTCCTGTGAATAGGCCTTCTTAATTCCCAACTGACTTCAGGGTATTAGAATGTGTTTAATAGCTCGACTGCTCACATTACTTCCACAGTATCTCACAATCACTGTGCATTCAAATGGCTTCTCTGTCATCCATCTTCTGTCTCTCTTCCAATAATACTTTGTATTTTGTTATATTCTTCAGAAGTGTGCCATTGCAGTCATTTTTAACTTGAAAAGGAGATTTTAATTTACTTGACTACATAGATGTTCTATGCCTCAGCAAATGAGTGGGTTATGTCATGTGGTTACCATGAAAACAGGAGGCCGTGTAGCGCTCTGCTCTCAGGTTAATTTAATGGTTTATTTTTGTAAAGATTGTCTGCAGGTTGCAGACGACGGGGCTTCACAGCCAGTTACAAGGTGAAGTTATCTTTTGCCATGTCAGAATGTCTTTTACTATTAGTGTCGCTGAGTCTGGTTTTGGTACCTCCTAAAACCTCACTAATGGAATTGAAGTAATATTTATAGTATTAAGAAAAGGAAAATAAACATTACAGTGTGAATAACTGAGAAAATCAGCAATTACAGCCTCAAGTCTTCTTGGGTATGATTCCACAAGCGTGGCACACCTATTTCTGGGGAGTTTCTCCCATTCTTCTTTGCAGAACCTCTCAAGTTCTATCAGCTTGGATGGGGAGCGTCGGTGCACAGCCATTTTCAGATCTCTGTTCAATCGGGTTCAAGTCAGGGCTCTGGCTGGGCCACGCAAGGACATTCACAGAGTTGTGCCGAAGCCACTCCTTTGTTATCTTGGCTGTGTGCTTCGGGTCGTTGTCCTGTTGGAAGATGAACCGTCGCCCCAGTCTGAGGTCCAGAGCGCTTTGGAGCATGTTTTCATCGAAGATGTCTCTGTACATTGCTGCATTCATCTCTCCCTCAATCCTGACTAGTCTCCCAGTTGCTCCCGCTGAAAAACATCCCCACAGCATGATGCTGCCACCACCATCCTTCACTGTAGGGATGGTATTGGCCAGGTGATGACCAGTGCCTGCTTTCCTCCAGACATGACGCTTGGCATTCAGGCCAAAGAGTTCAATCTTTGTTTCTTCAGACCAGAGAATTTTGTTTCTCATGGTCTGAGTGTCCTTCAGGTGCTTTTTTGTAAACTCCAGGCGGGCTGTCATGTGCTTTTTACTGAGGAGTGTCTTCCGTCTGGCCACTCTACCAAACAGGCCTGATTTATGGAGTGCTGCAGATATGGTTGTCCTTCTGGAAGGTTCTCCTCTCTTCATAGAACAACGCTGGAGCTCTGTCAGAGTGACCATCGGGTTCCTGGTCACCTCCCTGACTAAGGCCCCTCTCCCCCGATCGCTCAGTCTGGCTGGGCGGCCAACTCTAGGAAGAGTCCTGGTGGGTCCAAACTTCTTCCATTTCCAGATGATGGAGGCCACTGTGCTCATTGGGACTTTCAATGCTGCAGAAATCTTTCTGTACCCTTCGCCAGATCTGTGCCTTGATACAATTCTGTCTCGGAGGTCTACAGATAATTTCTTTGGACTTCATGCCTTGGTTTATGCTCTGATATGTACCGTCACCTGTGATACCTTATATAAACAGGTGTGTTCCTTTCTCAATCATGTCCAATCAACTGAATTTAGCACAGGTGGACTCCAATCAAGTTGTAGAAACATCTCAAGGATGATCAGTGGAAACAGGAGGCACTTGAGCTAAATTTTGAGCGTCATGGCAAAGGCTGTGAATACTTATGTACATGTTAGTTTTTTTTTCTGAAATTAAAATATTATAAAATACAGGTGCCAATAAAGGTTATTAAAATCCATGTTTCAAGCATTTTATATATTGTGTAATGAAAATAATGATTTTGTGTCAAATGGTCACAGTTAGAAGATGAGTCAATACTGAGGTGAGAAGTGCTGAAGTAAACCATTTGTGAAATGGGTCAATTTCATTTCCATATCAAAGCATAATGTGTGCTTGAGTGCTTCTAGTGAGTGCTGCTGTAGTATTTCCTTTTGATCTGTGCACATCAGCTCCAGCATAAAGACCGGACCGAGGCTGCTCAGCGTGCACACTTCCTCCGCTTTCTGCTGCTCAACAAAGGCTCCTCCCATCACTGTATTGAGTCTGCTTTTCTCTCCCCAGGAGTACCAGATCGATATTATCTTCGCCCAGACCTGGGTGGACACCCGTCTGCGCTTTAACAGCAGCAGCAGTAGGCGACTAACCCTCAACAGGTATGCTGGATTCACTGTGGATGTACAGCTGGATTTTAAATTCCCTCACCTGTCAGCTGTGCTGGTGCCGCGTCGAGCGCTTTGCATCCACAATCACAGCATTTTCAGTTCAACTATGGGTTTTTTATGCTTTTTTAAAAAATAACTCTGAGACCCCACTGTGACAATTCCTTCACTATAACAACTGTTGTGTTACAACATTTTCAAACTGTGAATATCTCATTCGAGAAGCATATTTGTCTCGCTCTCGGGAAGAGGCCTGTAATTAATGGAACAAATTGACTGATGTACTTGGTTTTCCGTGTGTCGCCCGGGTATTTTATTATCCTCTTACTGGGAGGTGAATCTGCTTCATACATTTCAGTCAAATAAGGAATTCAACATAAATTGTATAACCCCCCCACCCCCCTTCTCTCTTTGTCTCTTTTTGTCGACCTCTTACTCAACCAGCAATATGGTCGGCTTGATCTGGCTGCCCGACACCATCTTTAGGAATTCCAAGAACGCCGACTCCCACTGGATCACCACGCCCAACCAGTTGCTCCGGATCTGGAACAATGGAAAAGTGCTCTACACGCTGAGGTACATGAAAACACGCAGTTCAGTGTAGAGATCCAACCAGGTGGCAGACACAGAGTCAATGGCACATCTGGTATATTAAAGAAATAGGACAACAAATTGTGTTTTTAAGTGTTCAGAATTACAAACTACAAACCATTGATTGTGACAAAACCCATTAAATATGAAATAGATGTAAAAGAGACAATATGAACGTTGGCAACCTGTACGTCACCCCTCTTTGTGAATCATTTGAACATGGATTTCACTTGGAGCTTCCTGTCATCTCAGAAGTCATCTCGTCCTCATTAATAGGCAAATAATTGCTGCATTTTGCCAATTAATTCAAGCTGCAGTCATCTAAAATTCATGCCCCTCTCAGTAGTTTTCAATAGTGATCAAAACACATGGATCTGTACGTTCCCATTATGCTTGTTAGGAGCTGCACAAGTCTCTTTGTCCACATCAAAGCACTTCCTGCCCTTAAAGTTCCAGAAAACTGCGTTTCAAACTGCAGAGGTGGATCATTACACCAGAGCATTTTCTGCGTGGTCATTTCAAGTCGTTTTTTATCACACAGTTGCAGAAAAGATGTAGAATTAGAATATCTTAGCTTTACCTCCACAGAGAAGAAAATAAACTCCCATTGCAGCACGTTGACATGTCACGTGTTCCTGCTGGTTTGATTCCACCAGTGTCTACAAGACTCACCCGGGAGTGTATGGCTTGAGTTCTTTTTATATTTGAGTAGCATCTGGGTTTATGAACCCTCAAACTTTGACATGAACCTTTTCTTGTCTGCACCTGCGTACCCAGACTTTCAAACTAGACCGTGTTCGAAAAGCAAATACGACCATAGAAGTGTTTGTTTTTCCAGCCCTTGGAGGAACAGATGCACAGGTCAGGAGGATTGCTCCCATCCCGTCTTGTGGAGTCGAATCGATCCAATAAAGGTGAACCAGAATGACTGTAAGAAGAAATAACTTCTAAAAATGACCTTAAATCAAACTCATTTAATGATTTGGGGTGTTTTAACGGCAATTTCAACTTCCACGCAAGGTTAGAGCTGCACCTATTGATATATGATTCAGAACAATGGCCCTAGTCTGATTATGTGATAACATATATACTGTTTAGTATTTAGTAGTTTAGTAGCACATTGTGGTAGACGCAGTAAGCAGCTAGCTGGTGAACATAGTGGCACATTTAGCAGTTAAAGTTGGGCTCTTACTTATTGTCTCTTTTTATTTCATTCTAAGCTATTTTTACATTGCTTGCCTCCCTTTGTGTGCTGCAAATTAAAAAATGTAGTTTTTAAAAGGCGTAAATCCTACAAATAAAGATTGAAGCAGAATAGTGTGTTGGATAAGTACATTTTGTAATAAATGAGATGATGACTAAAATGAGAGTCAACACTTTAATGTCATGCATCAGATGGACACCAAATGAATGCAAATGTTGTTCAAACAGGCGACTCTATGCAAACATGTTTGCCTCAAAGGCTCTTTAAGTTGATCTCTTCCTGTTTCAGTGCAGTGGCTAATGCAGGTTCAACAATGTGCAGGCTACTTTCTACTTGAGTTTTTTTTTTATGGTTTTCTGGCTAATTGGCTTCCGTGATCACATATAAATAGTTATCTAGATACACTTACACTCCTCTTAAATAGCTGCTTATATTCATAATGATGTTGCAATAAAAACATGCATTTTAATCCATTACCCTGGTTTGGTCTTTCAAAGCATTATTAGATAAACTAGAACTAGTACAATACTGTTTTTACAACCAATCAGCGGTTTAGTTTTGGTGCTAATGGAGTGAATGAAACAAACATATTCTCTCAAGAACTGCCTAACTGCCACAGCTTCCCACTAAATGTTTATCTTTTAATAGCTTATCTTTCTTCTGCTAATGCATGTCTCAGTGATGAATTATAAAATGATTGTTTCATTAAAAGGATATTAAATCTGAAAGAGGCGTATGTTTGGAGGCGTATTTGCAGTCAGCAATACATCGATCACTCTCGCATCTCAGCAGTGTTTGCTTTCCTCTCGCTCCGCTCACCTCGGCGCTGCACGCTTGACCATATTAGGTCTTCCTGGCTCTCGACAAAGGAGGAAGATTATGCAAATTGGGTCCGCATAGTACATCATCTGCACTTTGTTCACCAACAAACAAGATGACCGAGACGAGCCGCCTTCCTGCTTTCAATTAGGATCCCGTTGTTTCAGTCGAAATGGGTGAATGAGGAACTGTACCACACGAACAGGCACGGAACGAATCAAACAAAAATAACATTTTTAAAATAATAAGGATTAATTGCAAGTACTGGTCACAGGCAGAGAATGTATATTTAGACTGATTTCAAACTAATCCCCTGTGTCTTTGTGCTCACCGTTGCTTTCCCAGAACATCTGGTGTATTGACTTGTCCAGTGATCGTAGCTAAGTACTCCTGCTTCTAGAAGCTTACACGCCTCGGGGCCCTGACCCGTAAGTTAATGCCATCTTCAACAGAAAACATGTCTGACGCTGATGATTAAGCAGTTCTGTCATTTTGAGGGATTTCGCACATCAACAATTCAACCAAGTGGGTTCCTGCACCAGCTGGTTGGAAGCCAGCGCTCCATATAGTGCAGTGTACATTATGTCATCCGGGCAGTGAGGAATCCTGTGCATCACACCATGTGCTTCAAGGGCCCAGAAAACGAAACCTGTGAAAACCTTCTTTTAAAAAAATATCTTTTCTCTCACCCCCCCCACCCCGCCTCTTCAGGATGACCATCAACGCAGAATGCCAGCTGCAACTCCATAATTTCCCAATGGACGAACACTCCTGTCCCCTCGTCTTCTCCAGCTGTGAGTTTTGGCAATAGCATAACACATGCACACACTAATTCACAATTAAGCAGATATTCATGCATCGCTGTTCCTGTACATGGAGTACCCTCAAGTATAACGCTTGATTTACAGACGTGTTCAGAGTTAATACAAACGACATAAAACAGAGGCAAATTATGAAACATATATTCTGAATATTCTGAAAGCAAATGTAAATAGAGCAGGGTTGGGGCTACAGCTCTTCCAAGCTTTGGTAAAAATCTCAGCAGCACTATTTCTGACCCCAGCATTAAAACGTGTGAATATTCATTTCCTTCTCATCATGAGACCCGATAGGCTCACACTTATCAATATCTCTCTGCTGGAAAAACCAATCCAACACTTCCCACGCTGATCCAGAGTCACAAGCGACACCTAAGTTTCTTCATCAGCTTCAGCTCTAGGACAGAACCCCCCGTCTAGTTTATAGCTTCATTTAGGTCTGTCAAGGAACTATTTTCTATCAACACATCACCCCCCCACCCCCTCACCCGTGCCAACTTTTTCGAGGAGAAACAAACTGAAATGGAAAGAAATTGAAACTGATTACCTCAGGCCTAATATAAAGTGTCGATGTTCTTACACATTTAAGTGGTTTAGAGGCCGAATCTGTGGCATGATGACTGCATTAGCACTACTAACGGCTTGATGCTGGCGTGAAATTGGAGTCCCCAAAGCGTTTATAGTCCCATTAACCGGTGCCTTATTAAATTACCCCCCCTTGCTACCTAAAAAGCACCAAAACGTCATTAGATGTGTGTATGACCGGTCATTCCGGTGGACCAGACATCTTCCAGTGCTCCACATGATATAATTAAGGTTCTAATCATTACCTGATGCGCCTACAGATGGCAGCATTCATCACAGACCATCGTGTGACCTCCCCGTGTCCGCATGGAGTTCGGTTAACTACTCGACTATTTTCACATCAGAGCGCGATGAGAGCGGAAGTCTCTGTCGCGCTGTTGGTGGTGAAAGAGCTATTGAGCACAAATGGGCTTCCATTATGTGTCTGCTCCCCAATGAAAGGATGTTCAGTAATGACCCCAACCGGGTAGATGGGCATTTTTCAGCTTTTGATTAAGAGGCGTGATGTTTTGGTATTTTTGATAAAACTGAATACTGCCAATTAATCGAACAAACATAGAGATTTTTAAATTTCACAGCGTACTGTGCATTTTAGATTTGGCTTAGCAACAAAAGTGATGATATTAATGATAAATAATGAATAGGAATGCAGACGGATATTTCATTGGCTGAATGAATCTTTGGAATGCTATTGAGCTTTATTTTAGGACTTGTCAAGCCCAAGTTGGTTACACACAATATTGGTGGATTGAAGTTCCTCAGACATCATTTCAAGCTTTGGATGCTTTGCACAGCAGGGTGATAATGAAACCCTCCCTGTTTCCCACTATCCAAACACCATGACCTTTCTCACCAGCTGTAACCTCCACTGCTATCGACCTCTGCTACCACTGATGGCTTGGCTGTTAATACATTGTGATACTGTGAAGCCCTCATGCACTTATCTGTGTCATCATCATGGAGCAAATCAAAAGCCTTCATTTTTATATTTCATTAATTTCATTAATAACAGTATATAAGCATGATGAATGCCTCGATGACCTATCTCATTTATTCTTCATATGTTTTGATGACAGATGTTTTTTTTCCCAACAACTTGCATAGATGTTTTGGATTCGTGACTTTTAAGCTTTCTCTTTTTAAATTGATTCCAAGTCTAATACATTAGGAGACACTCCTCCGGTGAGCTGAGTATAGAAAACTTGAAAACTATGATTACACACGGAGCCATGCAGTTATCCACACCACAGGCACCGCCGCAATCACTTCAAACCTAAAGAACACCCGCCGTGTTGCTGTATTAGTTCCATATTTACATTCTTACTGCACATACCGTTACATACGAGTCAAATCATTCTGAAAATGCAGGCCATGATTGATATCTTGCTGCGTGCTAGAAACAGCAATACCGTACATTTCTTTTGTTTCGTGTCAATCATTTGAAAGCTACAGGAAGGGATAATTATTCAGAACTGTGAAAGCTTTTATCATGATTTAGCTCACTACATATAGTGTGTGTGTGTGTGTGTGTGTGTGTGTGTGTGTGTGTGTGTGTGTGTGTGTGTGTGTGTGTGTGTGTGTGTACCGCTTGTGGGTGAAAAATGTTCCTCGAGTAAAGTTTCTGTGTGTTGTTAGCAATGAGGTTAGCCATAATGCTAACAACAGCCAAAGACTCATTTAAGGTGGACCAGCCGTTCCTGCGCTTCCTTTTTGAAATATATTATCTATTAATTGTCACAAATGGAAATTTGAGACAATGAGAAAAGCTTTTGCATTAAAAATCTGAAATCTTCATGAGGTAAATTCTCGTCTGGACAGCCCTGACATGCGTTTCTTATAGTTAACCCATGTAGAATAGTATATGTTTTTTAACAGCGTGTAAGTTCCCCAAATGTTGTAAAGGAACACATGTTTTAAATAGCTAAAAGGTAAACACCTGTAGCGTCACAGGCTTGTTTAAAAAGTTGGAAAACAGATTGTTTGTAATAGCTGCAGTAGCACTGTGTGCTTACATTTCCCAACGCATGAAAGAAGGAAGGTTCAAATATCTATTTGCTATAACTCCCTCTTATCTCTGCTCACATGATGTTGTTCTGAACCACACACATAACAGGACTTTGTTTACAGTGATATGGGAAACGTTGAGATAATTTGTGATATTTTCCTCCAGGATAGACACGGCCAATATTAGAGGCAAAGCCAACAGAAGAGGTTTATATCGGTGTGGAAGAACATGTGGCTTCAGGGAGCTTTTAAAGCAAGATTTATTTTGTACCTTTGAAAATATACTGGTGAAATGATGATAATACTGTTTGCAGTGGAGATAATTATATCAACACAACAAGGGAAATATGATTGCAATAATGTTTTCCCTCTAGTGTTGCTGTTTGGGGAAAAAGGAGATGTCATGTTTGTGATTGGTCCTCTTGTTTATAAATGGCTGTCCTCTAAATGTGACTATTTAAATAATTAAGCCTGCTTTCCACCAAAGGGCTCAACTATTTCTGCTTGTTAATGCAGTCACTCATTTACAAAAAACAAACTATAAATTCATATATATACTTTTCAAATGAGCCTAGCTTCTTATTTACATCCCTGGCGCTGTATTGTCTTGTGTTTAACTGTTTTCCTCCTCGGCGAAGATCAGTGGCTCCAGCGTTAACGCATCTTGCATTGTATATGACAGATTCATCGGCTAAAAAATATTTTAGCATTAATCTGAATAAAGGTTGAGCAATAGTATTTTCCCATAATGTAACCTTCCCTTCTCTCCGCCAAGATGACCGTGTCTTGCAATAAAGGCTGCTTCGTCTTTTTACCATAAAAATATCACTTCATTCAAGAACACGCTTGAGCCCAAATAGGTAAAATTAGTCCACTGAAATCAAGAATTTAAAATGGGTGATAGATTGAATAACATGGGAGATGGGATATGTGTTCTCCCCGGGTGCATTACAGCAGATTCCAAGTAAACAAGTTAGCCGTAATTGCTCAGCTGGTCTGCAGTCCACTAAACTGCCATTAAAACCTTCTAGTCGGGATTAGTGTGAATCAGATTCAAATCTTGCAAACAATAACTACAACATTGCTGCATTCGTCCTTCTCTCGCTGTACGCCGGTATCTTTCTATCACACTTTTGACGGGCCCTCTGTGTCGTTTCCAGACGGCTACCCTCGAGACGAGATCGTCTACAAGTGGAGCCGGAACTCGGTGGAGACTTCGGACCAGAAGTACTGGAGGCTTTACCAGTTTGACTTCATGGGGCTCCGAAACACAACAGATGTGCTCACGACAACAGCAGGTAGGAAAGGTCAACGGCTCCGGCACTTGAATTGTGACAGATAATAATACAAAACGTTATTAATCCCTTCAGGGAAGCTGTTTTCACCTCCTCTCTCCCTGTAGCGGAGGTCAAATGTCAGGTCTCAGCTGCAGACTGCATCGTCTTGCTGTTCGGAAGGCTTCAAAATAAAAATTTCGAGTCGCTTGACTACCTCGGTGCCCGAAGCTCTGCACAGGTTCACATTAGCACCGTGCACATAAATGTAATCATAAAACTACCAGCTCAAAGCGCATGAGTATTCCCTCTGGGTGCAAGGGCAAATAGGCTCCTCCACCGACATTAATCACCAAGATTAAAAAGGAAGCTTAATTATTCACTCCTTTTTCCCCAACGCTTTCAGTCGGGCTACGCATCCTTGTGTTCTTTGAAGACTTCATTTACGTGTGCTTGGAAGGCGCGCAGAAATGTTGTTGGTGACCGTAATTAAACCCTCAACCGGCACGGCGATGGACAAGATCTTAATGAATTGTTAATGCTTTCACATGGCAGATTGTAACCGTTTATTAAGCGCAGCATTATGAACGAGGGAGATAGTGAACTGACGCAGCAACTGTTAACCCGTCTTAACCTTGCTTATGAGTTGCATAATCCTTGTAGTTTCTGCCATACGGTCTTTTGTCTTTGGTGTTCGGGTCTGTATAATGCCACCTAATCGGCTTTCAGCTGAACCGCCCATCATGAATATTTGAGGAACAGGAGTTCTCTGCACGGTTGGGAAGGAGATAAGAGGGAGTGGCTTTAAATCATTAAGTAGCTCAGGGGAAGTTAATTGTATAGCTTCATTTTGCAATATGTTAAAGCGCTCTATTGTGTGTCTGAGTACTAGTGGAATCGGTTCACCCATTGGGTGCATCGGGTTTAATCTAATGAGACCTTTTGTTTGATCACACCGGCAGAAAGGTCACTGAAGAGCATCTCGAGACATTGACAGCCTTATAAATGACTTCTGGGCTCCCGCTGCATTGTCAAAACACAGACAAGCTCATTTTGCTCGAAAGAAACGGCAAAACCTACACATCTACCTCACGCTGTTAGAGAAATTAGCAGTTTTTCCCATTTATTACCTAGTTCCTCTTTGTTTCACGTGCCGGCTCCGTCTCCACACGCATCATGATTAGATCCCTGGCTAAAAATACCTATCATTAATTTACATCAAGACAAACTGCGAATGTGCTGCGTTTATCTTCCTCTCCCTTCCCTTACTTCCTTCTCTCTCTGTCTCCTAACTCTCTAGCTTTATGCCGCGTCCCTCGTAAACACATGAGAGATGGGGCGGTTTTAATGAGGACAGAGTGGCCACGGCGCCACCGGGGATCCCCGCCGCAGATCCTCCGTCGTTATCAATTCAGCGGCGTTTTTTCAAAAGGAATCCCAAACACTTTAGTGCTCTGTTATACTATGCCCTCGCAAATTCCCCCCAAAGCTCCCAGCATGCCCTCCTTCTGCTGTTGCATAACAGAAATGCTGATCCGTCTTTTTCTTTCTTCCTGTAAACTCTTGAAATGCCTGTTGCCATGGATCTGTGGTGAAATGGCTGACAGTTCCATGCCTTCTTCTTTTATTCCGTTGTGGGTCACAAGACTGACATTCAATGAGATGGTTCTTATGCTCCTTTTTATTGTACTCACTACCGTTACATACGAGTCAAATCATTCTGAAAATGCAGGCCATGATCGATATCTTGCTGCGTGCTAGAAACAGCAAAGACCGGTGAGGTTTTTAGTACATTTCTTTTGCTTCGTGTCAATCATTTGGAAGCTACAGGAAGGGCTAATTATTCAGAACTGTGAAAGCTTTTATCATGGTTTAGCTCACTGCTAACAACAGCCGAAGGCTCATTTAAGGTGGACCAGCCGTTCCTGCGCTTCCTTTTGAAATATATTCACTATTGTCACAAATGGAAATTTGAGACAATGAGAAAAGCTTTTGCATTCAAATCTGAAATCCTCATGAGGTAAATTCTCGTCTGGACAGCCCTGACATGCCTTTCTTATAGTTAAACCGTGTAGAATAGTATATGTTTTTTAACAGCGTGTAAGTTCCCCAAATGTTGTAGAGGAACACATGTTTTAAATAGCTGAAGGTAAATACCCGTAGCGTCACAGGCAAAGCTCAAAATAAATTGAGTGTGTTGCCTATCGCTATCAAGCCATTTTTGACCCCTGAGTCAGATAATAAACCTGCTGTCTCCTCTTGACAAATTGTTTGTAGTGTTTATCTATCATCTTTATTTGAATCTGCAAGGGGCCATTGTGAAGAGTCGCTTGCCAAAGCGAAATACCTCCCTGTACATGTCTACACGCTCACATCTCACATGTGCCAGCGAGAAACGCTCCTCTGCAGTGTCGCCATGACCCGGCGCTCATTTCATTGCACCTGCTGATTAAAATGGCTATTTCATTTCTATGTAGAGGACGTATGGGGTTAGATTCAGCTGCAAGCCGAGGACAAAAGGTCCTCTCGTACAGATGTTTTATTCAATGCCACATCCTTTTTATGGAAGCGCCTGAGTGGCAGCAGATTATCGAACAACGTTCTTCAGTGATATTTAAAGTGATGCCCGTCTGATGTGCAGAACTTGTCAAGGTTACCGAACAATGGCTTTTGTTTGCCAAGTGTTGTTGCTCAATGTCTCTCTGCTTCCGTCGTTTAACGTACTCAAAAAAGTGTTGGTTGGTCCTGAAAAGAGCGTCCTCGTTTTTATTCATATTTACAGCTTTCCTGTCTCCTTCGTCTGTGTCTTTTCTCAGTCTGTCTGCCTTCCCAATTGATCGAGATTATTTCAGTTAAAGCAATTATAGATCTAGTTCCAAACTTTCAGAAAAATGTAACACGTTTTTGTAGTCTTGAATGACCAACAATTCCAAAATGACTTTGACAGATCTCAGTGACGTTTATCAGCTATTCACAGATTAAAGTCACTGAAGAACTAAGATCGAAAGTACAGCTTTCGATACTTGTGACAATCTCATTAGAAAACTGTCCAAAATGCTTTTCATTTGAAACGTGTGTAAATATATATATATATATATAAATATATATATATATATATATATATATATAATGTGTTAATCCCCGGCTTGTGGCTGTTGGTAAGCACACCTCTGTTCTGTTACACAATTCACAGATACGTCTTCTTGCAAAATCTGCTGACTATCTGCAAAATATTGCATCTTCTTTAATAAAGTGCAGGATAGTAACAATCATTGAGTGGAATCTGCTTTAATGATCAAGTTAAAAGCAAACCAAGACGTAGCCTCCAGCTACAGATCAGACCTTTTAATTACTCAGCAAGCTGCTTCAGTGCTCCTCAGGGATACATGTGTGTTGTTCAATGGGCGGATTAACAGTACCGTAGCAGGGTCACCTTGAGATGGATGCAACTTCAAATGAACACAAATTACAACAAACTTCTCACTCGAGCTCTGCATGGCTGTATCCAGCCGCTGTGCATTAACATACATATGTACTAATTTCTGTTCTTGTGCTAAAACACCTTTTGGGGATCATCGTAAACATATATATATATATATATATATATATATATATATATATATATATAATGTGCACAGTGTCCGGTTTATACATATATATTTATATATAATGTGTATAGTGTCCGGTTTATACATATATATTTATATATAATGTGTATAGTGTCCGGTTTGCCAACGTTTAGCATCATTTACGATGATCCCCATAAGGTGTTTTAGCATAAGAATGGAAATCAGTACATATATATGTACATGTATATCAAATAGTAATAGAATAAAAATGTCTGTTATGTGTCTGTTCTGTTAGCAAGAAGTCCAAGGCGCATACCGTCTCTGCTACCTGAACTAATATTGCAATAACATCTCAAAGTGACTCAGTAGTGTTGGTAATAGCTCTACGATATAGTGTATGAATAATAATAACCTTCAACCTTGTACACCAGAAGGCAAAGTATAATATCTAAGCAAACGTATTTGTATATTAGTATGTGGCCAAGCAGAGTATAACAAATGTATACTATGAGCATAGCATAGTGTAATAAATGATAATCATATTTATGAGGATGTTTGTCGCAACCGCGGATAAGCGGTTGAAGATGAAATGAGAGTATACTATGGTATTTTTTCGGGCAATATATGCAAATCAAGTCCAACAGAAACAATGGAGAGGGAGAGTTGTGTGCGCCTTTGTGCGCGCGTGTGTGTGTGTGTGTTTTTGGCTGGCCGGTCGGAGCAAAGGGACAGTCTGTTTCCTCTGAAGCTGTTGTACAGTCTGATAGCACCGGGCACAAATGAAGCTTCTGGGTGGGATGAATCATCGTGATTCATCACGAGAGGAACACATTTCCATGGCAATCAGTCCCTTACTTGCTGACGTGTTTTACTGTGTTTTAGTTGTGGGTCGACCCAAAAAAACACCGTCCGTATTTTGCCGTTCCGTGAAAAATAATGTTTATACCCCATCTCCTCTCTCACGGCAGGTGAATACGTGGTGATGAGCGTGTACTTTGACCTCAGCAGACGAATGGGCTACTTCACCATCCAGACCTACATCCCCTGTATCCTGACTGTGGTCCTCTCCTGGGTCTCCTTCTGGATCAAGAGCGACGCCACGCCCGCACGGACAGCCTTAGGTACACCGCTGCACCGCCCACCCGACTGAAGAGGGCTCATACTCCTTATTCACCTCTACGAGCAGTCATTTGTTGCGTTCTCTTTTAACACTGGCCGAAATAGCAAGTAACTCATTTCGTTCCTGTTGATGATGGGTGGTGGGTAATAGTGTTGATGTCCAATGCTTTGTGCTCCATTTGCTTTGCATTAAGTAATTGGAATACTTTCACCAGATAATATAAGTGTCTTTGCCACTGCTCATTCCAGCCCCAACTGAGTCTCATATGAGGAAAAATAATTGGAAATTGGTGGCAGGATTTGGAGCTTTTCTTTGATTCACATTCAATCTGAGATTTCGAGGGCCTGATAGCAAAAGCAATAATCTCTTTTTGATTGGTAACTGCAATATTATAACTCAGCTTTTGTTGCAGTAGTTATTACAAGCAAAAGCAATCATATTACTGGAATACTTGCACATCACTCAACAAAAAATAATCAAATATAATTCTGTGTGTTATACTGTATATCAGCCATTCATGAATGAATATGCATGTTTCACCTCCAGCTGTGCATTAAGCCTATTTTGAAGTGTCCCATCAGTGTTTCGTATTACTGTGGCGTTAATCTTATTTTCTTTGCTTGAGTTGACAATTATTTTGAATTATTTTCCTCCCCGCTGCATGCCTACCATCAGCTCATTTGCTTTCCTGTGGATGATGATGATGATGATGTTGTGCTGGCGATCCCTATTTAAGTTGGAAATCAAGGTAAGTGTCTTGTGAGGTCATGACCATGGCAGTGACTCTATGTTGCACCATGTGGCGAACAACAATAAATAAAGGCGGCAGGAGCCAAAGTTAAAGCGGAGGTGTAGTTCGGGAAGAGGACACTGTGCAGATCCCTTGAGGTGCGCCGATGTTGCTAATCACGACCTCAGAGGCCTCTCCGCTGGCATGCCGTAGTCCAGAATGAGACCATATTTGAGTTGCCAGTGGGAGAGCTAGATGGTGTTGATGGGACGAGAGAAGTCTGAGAATGTTTTGTCGATGATCCAATTGCACCCGGTCCAGGAAAGCAGCCAGCAGGGTCCTCAGGTCTGTAGCTCCATCTTCTTTGGCACTGTGACGATGCAGGACGTCTTCCATAGAAAGGAGGCACATCCGCCGTATTGCTGGCAGGCTGCAGCAAAACTACCATACAAGTAGTTCACAGGCTATTTTAAGTTCTAGTTTACTGATGTTATCAAGTTCGAACATAGCTTTCACAAACGGACTAATACCTTGCGCTTTGGTACGGCTTGTGAAGAAGGGTTAATACTCTTCATTAACTCACTTGACCCAAGAACTTAGCCGGATACGCCCTCTCCAACCCCGACCACCTTCACCCTCCCCGAAGGCAGTTGAAACGTGGCGGCATCACGTGCCTCTAAAGTACTTTGATTCCACTGGGGCCCCCTGCCCTTCATCAGCCAGCCAGTCAGCCGATATTACAGAAGGTCATTGGGAACTTCTCAGTGGTAATAAAAAGGTTCTGTTGGAGTTCTGTCCTTTATGAAGCGTTGAACAATAAAGTCATCTCATGTTATATCAACTGTATTAATGAGCGAGCGTTGTTAGTAATGGAGCCTTTGTTCTCTTGCTGTTAATGAAAGTCACTTGCAAGATGAAATCATGTTGTGCGCTTCGCTCGGCTTTGTTTGTTGTTGTTAGGTTGATGAAAGTTGACCTTGTGATTGTCGAAACAGAGTAAAGAGAGGGAGACAAAACATGGGTGTTTTTTCTAGTTAGAAATGTGCTGACTGCTACTGATTATTCAGTTGTCTTCATCCAGCAATATTCCCATCACAAGAAGCAGCAACGTGTTTGGCTGCTTCCGGTTGGCGGGTGGCGTTGTGATGCATGACCGAAGGCCGTGAAAAGGTTGTGATCTCCCTCAAACAACAGGTAGCGCAGAGAGGAGAGCTGCACGGGTCCTGATAAACACCCGCGCTTCAATCGGCTTAACAGAAGTCATTTAATGCGTCTCCTCGAGCACATCGCCGCCCTTTTCAGGTCGCCATGAGACCCGATCCCAAAGCTGAAAGGGAGTGAGATAAGAACAGAAAAGAGGGGAACAAAACCAGAGTGTGAGGTGAAAGGCGCTGGCATGTAGTGAAAGGCGCTGGCATGTAACGCCAGGCAAAGAAATGTCAGCCGGGGGAAAAGGATTGGTCGAAGAGCGTAGAGGTTGAAGTCCATGTAAAGGGCAAACCCCACCCAACCCCTCCAGGTGGTGCGCCTTGACAAGCTGCTAACGTGTTCCAGGTGGTATTTCCAAAGAGCTGTCACTCACCTGCCGTTCCTTCAGCGGCAGGACGTGTGGACGGCAGCGCGGTCGAAGCAAGAGAGCTCTGGTTGATTTCCATTAGACCTCAATATCTGGAGCTTAGATAGAACTGGACAGGGATGTAGTCCTCCCCCCCACCCCCCCGGCCCCCCCACCCAACTCCAGGCAAAAGTGTAATGTAGAGAACTGGAGTTCATTAAATTATTGATTGTAGTTTAGCCACTCTTTTCCCTGGAGCTTTGTTCAACCAAAGGAATTGCTTCAGTACCTAAACAACTCCATGTTTGTTTAGTATGTAGTCATCTCAAATATGGGGCCTGGGCTTGCAAAACGTTCTCGCAACAAAGGAAGCTCATTTGTCATGTTGCGGCGGTGGTGGGGAAAAGAACATTTAAAATCCCACGGTTTGTCTGCGAGAGCTGTCATTCACACACATGCCTTTCAATGGTGATGTGTCAGCTTGGGTGTAAGAGCTGACAATGTTCCCCATGGAAACTCTACCAGGAAGGCAGTGAGATGGGACGCAGTACAGACAAGTTTGACCCTCATACTGTGTTTACCACAAAAAGCTTGAAGCAAAATTAACCTTAATTGCCGTAACGCAACATACGTGAAAGTTTTCTTCTCTAAAAGTGTCCTCGTTACAGTAGATGGATTTCGAGCTATCGGTCAGGAAACAGCCCAGCTGGGTAGATAAATTAGAGACGAGGGAGGAATTACTGCACGCCGTTAAGTCCCAAGTGTCTCTTTGGTCAGAGGGGACTCACGAGGGTCATCTCACTGATTACATGCACGGGAGACGTGGCCTTAACTCGAGGCCTCTACGGTGTGTGAAACACACACATGTGTAGCATTTTTACCTCAATCACAAGCAAATTAATTTGAAAACATCAGCATAATTACCACAAACAAACAAGCTCTCGCAGAGGAGGCTGTCGGCTCTGATGTGCACTGCATTTTACTTTGTGTTGATGTGGTGGAAAATGTGCTGAAGTGGTTGAGAGCTCAAACGAGGAACGCCTTCACTTTTGCAAATAATATGCACTTTTATTCCACTTTGACTGTTTTCACTGCATAATATCAACTTCACATTAGCCTACTTTGTCAGAACATATATAAATATATCCACTGTTATTTGAGGCCGAGTGATCTGTTCTCTTTCTTGCTATTCCAAACAAGTGAAGTGATGCAAACGGCAGTGACAACCACAAAGTTCATAAACACAACTCTGTGGATGCTTAGTCTTTGCTCATTGTTGTTGTGAAAACCTGCGGATATGGAATATGGAATACCCCAGCATGTTGGTAAATTAAAAATAATATTGGTCTTAGATCTGTAGTCAAAGTAAAGTCCATGCTGTCATGTGAGCCGGCCATTGATCCCTGACTGGTACTGTTCAGTGCTATTTATACATAAACTCCATGAACACAAGCTTTGTTCTGTTCCCCCGGACCAATCACCAACGTCTGATTCTTGTTAGCATATTGTAGCAACACCCCGTTACTGTTTTATGCCCAATGCCACGTCTTTGAGTTGTAATTTTGTAAATGTGCTTTCTTGTTGCTGTGATTACACAGTCAGTATCATTCTGCAGTCTGTAGCTTATCTGTTGTGTGCAGGCATTTGCACTGGAGCTTTCTCACTTCTTTGTGATGGCCCTTGTTACCCGTCTGTGGATGTTGGATTTGGGATTGTTGTTGGGATCGTATGCACAGACAGATATCACGCAGTTGCTATGGCATCATGTTGCGACAATTCCTACAGACTGAATTAAACTCTACTAAGAACGCCTGGGCCTTGATTTGATTTAGCAGCAAACTGCGAGCAGTTGATAGCTTGTCATGAATTTATTTTTTATTTCTTTAATGCACCTGCTGTTTTCTTAAGATCACACTGTTGACAGGACAATTATATTTAAACAGATAGCGAGATTATGGCTATAAAATGCAGAGATTTATTGTGATTTACCTAATTTGGTGTTTTAATCTAAAGAGCCGGCGAAAAGGAGAGAGTCTAGACGAGCAGTAGACCAAAGGAGGTAGCTTGAAATAGATGGGAGCAACTTGTCTCTATGGAAACCACAGGCAAAACAGTAGCACACTCTGCCATGAAAGGCATGTGGGAGATGAGGATGAAAGGGACACAGAAGAGGAAGGGAGGGAGGAAGAGAGAAAGGGGCCAAGAGGGAAAGACAGCGGGGTTACTAGAATAATGTGCGTGTCACAGGAGAAGATATCGGTGCCCCCAATGGCATTGATGTTTCTGGGTTCATCTTTCTTTAAAAAATTATTTAATTTCACCAAGTGAAAAATGAGCTTTAAGTCATATGATTTTTTTTAGTGTGACAGCTATTTATTCATACTAAACACATCTCAATTTTACAGTTATTTTAGGAACGGTTAGTTACCTCAATATGCGACTAAGAAGGCCATCACTCCAGGGACCCGAGCAAGGATATGAATGGGGAAAACCATGTGCACCTAAAAAGTCATACTGTAATGTGTCAAAAAAAAGAGAAATAAAGTCTCAGTATGCTATATCAAAAATAAGCTGTCAGTGTAGGATGTCACGACAAGCCCAAAAAGTGGAAAAAAGTCGAATAAAGTGAAAAGGGGTCGAGTCAAAAAAGGTTATAGCGTCAAAAAAATTCATAGCACAGCATGTTGATTAGAGCCATAGAATAGCATGTCATAAAAAAGTCAAAAAAGGTCATACCATAACAAATGAAAAAATGTGAATGAATGAAGGCATAGTATGTCAAAAAAGGGTCATAGTATGTCGGGTGAAACTCAAGAAACATTGCGTAATAGAATGTCTGCTGATATAGCGCAGGGGAACGGCAGAAGCGCTGACTTCTGATGATTCTCTGTTCAAACCTGAGATTGTGGGATTGAGTCCTGCAATGTTTGTCCTTTTTTTTTTGCGGTTACACTCACACCCTCAAGGTGAAATAGAAGAAACCAAGCACCACACATACATGTGGAGGAATAGTGCGGTGGACTAGCACGTGGGCTGCAGCATGGAAGGTCTTAGGTTCGAGCCCACCATTGGGCGTACGTCATTGTTTTGAGTGTCTTCTGGCAACCTCAGGCTCAAATACGAGAAACAACAAGTGCCAAGTGTAGGGAGGAATAGCTCTGTGGTTAAGCTCAAGCACTTCAGTTTCATAGACCCGGGTTCAAGACCAGGCTAGCCATTGCAAGGTGCAATACAACTAACAAAAATTGGGATGCATGGACCTCAAGGCCATTGGACAAGTGAAAGACAGTGTTGAGGTAGGCCTGAACTGCACTTCGGTGTGTTGCGGTGGGGTTCTCCCCACCGGTAATTTCTCAGCAACTATGCCCGAGGGGTTATGCATCTCGTTTGCTTATTTTGCTGGATTTTTTTTATTTTGTTCATAGTAGAGTAGAATTCAAAAGTATAAGCAATAAGACTGCACTGCTACATACTCCTAGCCATTACTTTGCATACTACCACTTTCACTTCCGATTACTACTACTTTCTACTAGTACTTTCAAATTCTACTTTGAAAAACTAAAAATTCCAGCAAAATAAGCGAACAACATGCATAACCCCTCGGGCATAGTTGCTGAGAAATTACCGGTGGGGAGAACCCCACCGCAACACACCGAAGTGCAGTTCAGGCCTACCTCAACACTGTCTTTCACTTGTCCAATGGCCTTGAGGTCCATGCATCCCAATTTTTGTTAGTTGCATTGCACCTTGCAATGGCTAGCCTGGTCTTGAACCCGGGTCTATGAAACTGAAGTGCTTGAGCTTAACCACAGAGCTATTCCTCCCTACACTTGGCACTTGTTGTTTCTCGTATTTGAGCCTGAGGTTGCCAGAAGACACTCAAAACAATGACGTACGCCCAATGGTGGGCTCGAACCTAAGACCTTCCATGCTGCAGCCCACGTGCTAGTCCACCGCACTATTCCTCCACATGTATGTGTGGTGCTTGGTTTCTTCTATTTCACCTTGAGGGTGTGAGTGTAACCGAAAAAAAAAAAAGAACGGCCCGTCCACCCTATTAATGTTAAGGAAACCGGGAAGGGGTGGAAGTACGTTAGTACGTAGTATGTCGGATACTAACAAAGAAGCAATTGTACAATTTAAGTATGATATACACATTAAAAAGGCATTCTATGTCAAAAAAGTAATAGTATAGTATGTTGTAAATAAAATGCGGGACAAAAGTAATAATAATTGTGATGCGACTCCGCTGTTCAAAAGAGCTTCTTAGATAAACTGTAGTTTTAGAACATTGAGGGCGTGAAAAAAACCATGAGTACTCGATCATTTTCTTATCCTACTTCAGGTGAATGCAACAATCTAGACAGAATTCCTCATGAGATTGATAGAACTCTGTGCAAAGTGCAAGCATTTACTCTGCGTTACTCATACGTGCATTACCTCCCCAGGTATCACCACAGTACTGACCATGACCACGCTGAGCACAGTAGCCAGGAACTCACTACCTAGAGTGTCCTACGTGACGGCCATGGACTTGTTTGTCACCGTCTGCTTCCTGTTCGTCTTTGCTGCCATGATCGAGTACGCCATGCTCAACTACTACTCCTACAGCATCCGCAGACCCCCTGCCAAGATGCAGAGACTGGTAAGCCTATGCTGATGATCTAATGACGCTCTTCTGATCATTTTCTTCTTTCAGCACAGCTGCGTCTTTGGTCAGCTTTGTTTATAGAATGCTCTGAATGGATCTACTCACGTTGCTGGGGGGAAAAGTCACTCAAAAGACTACAAAATAACGGCGTACATTTGTATTCTCTGTTAAGGTGCCACATTTTTTAATGACATATTGTGACAGAAACCTCCACGTCCATCTACCCCATGTGACTCAAAACGACTACAAAGACTAAAAGTCTTTCTGGTCGCGATGGTCGGGTTTCAAAAATTGAATAACAATATATGCCTAATGCTTTGTGTGGGCGAGCTCGGGGCTGCCACCTTTTATGAAGACCGACTGAGCCCCCGCCGCCGCCGCCATTTCCCTCTCTACAGAATCCATGCCTCTTCATTACTTCCTCCCAGTGGAGGGCTTTTGCTCGATATGTCTCGGTGACAAGAAAGACAGTGAGCACGGTCTGAACAATTAGGTCCAGTTACATTCAGTCCCCTCCTCTGCAGTTCTGGCTGTGCGCTGTGTTTCGGCTCCTCTGTCTCGGGGGAAGCCTCGTAGTTCCCTCCCCGCCACCAACGTGGCCCCTTTGTGCCTCCCACTCAGTTAATTTCTGTTAGTCCACAAGACTATTTCTCTCGCCTCCCACTCTTAATGGAAGAGCTGATTGGAGGACTGACTGTGCAAAGACTTTACCCTGAATTAGGTTGCCGTTTAACACTGCATTTAAAAACCAAGCAAAAACTGTGACAACTAACGATGATTCTCATTACATCTTTCAACAACAGTATTACTCCAGTTGAGTAACTCTCTCTGTCGTCCCGTACAGGCCTACTCATCTTTTAACGTGGGTCCGCCCCCTCGGCCCATGATGCCCGTTGGAAACTCGCTGTTCTGGCAGGACTACGACGACAACTGCCTGTACGAGTGCCTGGACGGGAAGGACTGCAAGAGTTTCTTCTGCTGCTACGAGGAGTGTAAAGAAGGTGGCTGGCGGAAAGGACGCATCCACGTCAACATCGGCGAGCTGGATGCCTACTCGCGGGTTTTCTTCCCCACCTCCTTCTTGCTCTTCAACATTGTCTACTGGGTCAGCTACCTCTACCTCTAGAACAACGAGCCGCCGGCGTTATCTCAACAGACAGGTCCCGTTTACGACTCTCTGGGAAACCTCACAACAGACCCATGGGACTTAAGAGGCGTTCGGGGACGGGGGTTGCGACGTTGGTTCGATAAGATGGCCAAGCACCCATTTAGTGCCTTCTTTAGAAAGGGTGCGGCACCGAGAGACCCGGCTTCAGAGTTCCCTGCGTTATCTTTATTACCTCATCCGCCACATGCAGAACCCCATTGGAGACATTCAAAACTAACACACGTCATTTATTTTGTAGCACTTTACTTTTAGTTGTACTCTAGATTTACTTCTACTTGGAAATAATGACACAATTTCTTGTATCTTAACACCGCAGGTCAAGCAGCTCACCCATCCGCTGTTAGTTGTTGAACGTGGTTTGTCGGCTTTCAGCGAGTGTTTGTTCGGGACTTTTCACGAACGAGCGATGCAGTTTACAGTAAATGCCAAGAAGATTTGGGTATTTTATAACAAATACTAGGTTACAAAAAAAAAGTTTAAGGACTGCATAAAGACATACCAATCTTATACTAAACATGCTAATCTCATCCATATTCTGTGTAAATAGATTAGGGGAGAGCGGAGCTGGCTTCCTCCTGGCAACAGCTACATGAAAAAATTCCTACATGTTACATCCTTTTCATCCTTATTCGTACAGAATTCTACCGACCGCAAATAAATTGTTCTCTGAAATAAGTGTAAACTGCATATTGGCACGGAATGAGCTGTAGAACTCACATGCAAACACAAACTGTACATGTGGTATTTATTTTGCTTTAGTCATTGCCCCAAAAGTCGAGCTTGAGTGCATAAAATTGTCCTGATGAACGCTTCAATATCTCTCATGTCGTGTCACACGCAGGACCTAAAGGCTGCTCGTGCTCCGCTGGAAATGATCACAGGTGCTGTAAAATAGGGTTTATGCTATTCTGTACACACAGGGCTGTTGGAAATGGAAGCTCTAGATAACGACGCCGCGATGGACGGCAGCATTTGAAGCGTTACGGATTTGTTTACTGTTCTGTGGTGTTTTGGCTTCTTAGAACAATCAAGCCCCTTGTCCCTTCTCCTCCCCTCCTTCCTACCCAAACACACACCTTCCCCCCCATATTTGTATGTTCAGAGAAAAGCTTTTATGTAAAAGTATCTGATTAATGTTTCTATTTTCATACAGTTCTATATGGAATGTAAGTTAGGCCAGTAGTCCGTCTGGTTCCAGTTCAGTCAGTTCATGTGGCCTAAATGAGCTTATTCCTGCGGGTCCTACATATTCATGAGGCCTCCAGACGTTTGTAATTACCATTCAGACCATCTCAAGTGATGCTGCAGAGACAGCTGAGAGGCTGTCACCCTGCGCACACATATTTACTCTGCTGATGTATCACATTAGCCCCTAAGAGACAATGACATTTCTACCCATATCTACCAAGAACTGACTGAATTGCCAGACTTGGCCCTCACCGCAGTAAACCCTCCTCACCTCTGATATTTCTACTACACTTTATAAGTGTCTTTGTCGTTAGGAGCCAAATCACATTTTTCTACGTCCTATTGGAAGTCACCTATGCGTTTTCAGCTGACTGGGACCTGTATTTATAAAGCCTATTTGGCATCAGAGTACTAACCATCAGCGCTGGTGAGCATAATGAACTCTGCTCACGAGCCTCTCCCTGAGACCTCATCACCCCAATTAAAGCTTTTGTAGTTCCTCTGAAAAGCTGCGCATCACTCTCACTGTCACGAAAACATGCATCGCTCCAGCTTCATCCTACAAACCAATTTTGTTTTGTCAGTGAGGTCTCTGGGGAGAGAAGGGGGGGGGGGGGGGGGGGTACAAACGGAAATACAGTCTGACTTTGGATCACTCTTGGGGGGAATATTTTATGAAAAAAGGAGGTACAGTGAAAATAGTTTTTTCTAGTGCGTGGTACATTGCTTATATTAATAAATAACGTTTTGGTCAAGTGCTACTGTGAAGTCTTTTTCTGAGAGACACTATTATTCAATTGGAAATCCCTCAAAACATCCTGTTTTGGGACTGGAACCCAGTGAATCATCATTAACTTGGACAGGACTTCTGAATAAAAATAAAAATAAATACTTATATGGATAATATGATTACATACTACAATACTTACATACTGAGTGCTCGATGCTTCATGCTGGTCTGATCTATACCGAGTTGATTATTAGAAACATCCCTTCACATCAACAATCGTGTAGACATGCATGTGAAACGTGAGCCACATAGGAAGCTCATTCGCATGTATACTGATCTGGATTACTGCAGCGTCACCGCTTGCAAAAAAAATGCATGAAACTGATTTTGATCAGTCAAGTATATTTTGTGAGCCCAAATTTCCCTCAAAGAGCTTTACAAAAACAACACTCTCTACCCGTAAACCCTCCAAGATCCTTCACACCACACAACACATAAAAAAGATGCCGTTCACAAACGTATCCCTGAGAGCTGTGCAGTTTCTGCAACACCGTCTATCCTTAGACTCCTGATCTGAATACAGACAAACACCACTAAAATAACTTCAGACAACGGAGGAGGGATCCCTGTTCTGGGACCAGTGGTGCAAGACGTCCTTGGATATTTTACTTAAAAGAGACAATCTGGAAGAGATCATTTCTGTTTAGGAGATAACACATCGGAGATCGAGCCTGTGGCCCAGCGATGGAAGACATATTTAGACTTCCAGACTGAGGGTCTTTGGCAAGCTTATCAGAAGAGAAAAACCTTCTTACGTCTTAAGGACAGATCCCGTAGTGTGAAAATAGTCTGTGAAAAGTTAAAGTTCTGCATTCAAGGTTTCCATGGAGATCTGAGTCCAAAACATAAACAAAAGAAATAGCTGTAATTCTGATCGGCCAGTTGGCAACAACAGAGTGTCTTTCAAATGTCCTCAAGCAGTGCGCCCGCCTAACAACAATCACACCGCTAATATCCAGCGCCGGATGCACGAGTGCGTTGCGACAGCCAACCGTTGAACGCAATAAATATATTTTCAATGAATGATATATTTCTATCTTTATTCCACAGGTGTGGAATGCCCTTTAATATATCATATTTGCGTTTGGGTTTAACACGGCCGATAATAGGGAGCGTTCAGGTGTTCTGATGCTTCCTCAGGCGGCGCCCTGAGTCGGGAAATGGCGTTCTGTGAAAAGCTGATGGCGTTACTAAATAAATCCTCCCGTGTCTCAGACAGGCAAGCTGGATTTCTGATGGGTTCTCGGAATAGGGCCTCATCATTTTCCAAGTTCAAGGACGTTCAAGGCCGTTATATTTGAGTAACGTCCAGAGTATTCTATCACATCTGGCGGGTGAGCGTCATGTTTCTGATATTTTGCCTGGCGCTGACTTTGATTTGGCTCCTGATAACTTCTGCATCTGGTGCCTGGTGCTGAGGGGACTTTATAGCCTTTTCCTTTCTCTTTCTCTTTTCTTATACCACCAGTATTATGAATAGCACTAAACCCATTTTTTTCACAATCTGTAATTTGCTCAATTGATTTAAATGTATTCTTTAGACACTCTGCTCCTGAACTGCAAATGACTCTGTAGTTTCTAGGAGACGGGGTGCAAGTAGGACAACTCCAATGAGGAGCAGGCCAGTCAGTCCAAGAAGTGTGCAGTAAAGTGTGCAAACAAAGGCCAGAGGCCGGCAAATAGCTTGTAACTTCTAAAACAGAATACATACATGTGTGTGTCCATACTAACTTTCATCAACTCTCATAATTTCCCACTGATTTGTCCTAATTTTGTATTGAAGGGTTAAGGGATCTTAACTTGGAATAGAAATGGAAACTGAACAAAATGGATATGCTTAAACCATTATTTAAATGTTGCCTTTCTGTTATGGAGCAAAACGGAAACAGTGTCTGACTTTAATGGTTATCAAGGCCTTATCATTGCACTTCATTGGTTTCTGCTAAGGAAGCACAAAAAATAGGATAAGAGGAAATTGGATGAAAAGGGACTTCTGCAGTGTCACTAAAAAATCCCTGCTAGCTGTGGAAGTTCACGACGGGGAGATGTGATACTTCCGCGTGATAATGGGAAAAATTGGGCTGGGGATTCTACTCTCCCTGCAGCAGGAACAGCAGGATAACACTCAGGAAAACATCTTGCATTGTTGAGATAATGCTATGAGTTGATTATAGGGAACACGCGGAGTCTAGCAGTCAGTAAAAACCAGCTGCGTCATTTTACATTCAGAAACATAGTCTGGATCGGTTTTTAGGATCCAGGTGGTTTATGATAAAAAGGGGTGAATAACAACACCGTGCTATCAACCTGCGGTGTGTACAAGGGTTAAACCATTACAGTCATGCAACGCCGAGTTGTGGTCGAGCCTTTATCAGTGGCGAGATATTCATCACCACGGCAACTAGGAGCACTGTACTGTGGGAACTTCAGTAAGACAGTCATCAGAACAATTTGTAATCTGCATTTAAATCGATTGGATTGGACTGTACACACATATATATATATATAATGACAGTTACTTGTTATACAGTCACACTAACGGTTCTGTGGGGAAGGGCGTTGACATTTGACTGTTTAGACTTTTCTGCATGTTGAAGCCATATTTTTTTTAAATGTGCAGGGACAATTAAGGCAACTGAGGTCACGTCTTCTGCACCTTCTGCAAATGTTCAGTTACATTCTACAATGAACAAGAGTAACACACGGATAGATGCATGTTTTAGAATTTACAGAGCTGAAATATCCAATCACTGGAGTTATTCCTTTCCTACAGCTGATGGAACACCTAGCTTTAGCTATTTATTAGTTACAAGTTGCTCCTTTTAATTACTTATATCTGTGTAAATGCAATGTGTTGCACACTGTTGCAGTACAGGGTGGAGCCAGCAGCCACTAACCAACCACAGTTATGTTATAGCCCTATTCCAAAATAGATTAAATTAATTTTTTCCTCAAAACTCCCCATGCACAACACCCCATAATGACAAAGTGAAAAAGGGTTGGGTCTGGTCGGGTTGAACTCTTTGGCCTGAATGCCAAGCTTCATGTCTGAAGGAAAACAGGCACCTGGCCAAAACCACCCCTACAGTGAAGCATGGTGGTGGCAGCATCATGCTGTGGGGATGTTTTTCAGCGGGAGGAACTGGGAGACTAGTCGGCATCGAGGGAAAGATGAATGCAGCAACGTACAGAGACATCCTCGATGAAAACCTGCCACAACGCGCTGTGGCCCTCAGGCCGGGGCGACGGTTCATCTTCCAACTGGACAACGACCCGAAGCACACAGCCAGGACAACAAAGGAGTGGCTTCGGGACAACTCGTTAATGTCCTCCAGTGGCCCGGCCAGAGCCATGACTGGAATCCGACTGAACATCTCTGGAGCCATCTGACAGTGTCTGTGCACCGACGCCCCCCAATCCGACCTGATGGGACCTGAGAGGTTCTGCAAAGGAGAATGGGAGAAAACCTCCCGAAAATAGGTGTGCCAAGCTTACAGCACCGTACTCATGAGGGTTTGAGGCTGTACTTGCGGCCAAAGGTGCTTCAACAAAGTATTGAGCAAAGGCTGAGAAGGCTTTTCATTGTTTCAAACTTTTGATCAAGCTTGTTTCACTTTGTCTTTATGGGGTGTTGTGTGTGGAAAAAAATGAATTTAATCTATTTTTTGAATGAAGCTGTAACATAAAGCGCTGTGAATGCTTTCTGGATGCAGTGTATGTACTTTAGAGCCCAAAGGAGAGGAAAACACAGCAATTCAGAGACAAAAGGTTCAGCTGCTCTTCAATAAACTCATCTTGAACCATAGTTGATGCCTCACATTGATGTGTGTCTTTGTGTAGTTTGTTTGTTGTTGTGCTCTTTTATTTCAGCCTCTTTTATTTTCTGTCACCGGACAGCAGCTTTATAAAAATACGAGTCCTGACAATAATCAAACAGCTATCAAAAATAAATGTAAGTGTTTTGAAGAACAACTTCAAGCACATGCCAGTTATTAAACAGGTTCTAGGCCGATGATGTCTGGTGCCAGAACAGCACAATAAACTGAAGTATGAAATCTGGGGGACTTTGTGTCGACAGCCTGAGGGCCACTCACACAGAACTGTTGCTAAAAGACTCTGAATGATGATCCTTTCATTGTCAGCAGAGGGTAAGCGTGAAAGTCAAAGTAGGAAGCAACACTCCAGAAAGTTAACTTTGATGGGATCGAGGTTGTTAAGCACCAGCTAATCGGTGGTGGTGTAATTCTACCGCTGAGTTGAGATGTGGGTGATTGGCGGATAAACAAACCATGCCTGTCTAAATAAAGCAATCTGATATTAAAAGGAGTTTAGGGATGAAAACTGAGCATGTCGGCTTCATTACAGCTAAAAAATTGGACGGTGGAGCGAAGGCATGTGCCGCATGCACAAAGACAAGTTGCAGTCGGCCGAGCGCTCGGGCCTCATCTGAGAGCTTTCATTGATGGAAACTCGAGGGAAATCTGTCCGTGACTACGTGGGTCCAACTGTGTGCAGAAATGCAGAGAGCGGGCCGAGCGCTGACGACTTCATCAAAGATGCATCCCGTTTCTGTCTGGCTGCCTAAAGTAACAAAGAGCACAGCAGCTCGGTGGGGGAGGGACAAAATTCTTCCAGATTCATTCCATCCAGAATTTTATGGCAAACAAGTTTAAATGTTAAATACAAAGTGTGAGTTCATTCAGTCTGGGGTAAATATACACTTTAAGTTGGCCATGTCAGAGATGATGGATCTGTCCAATAAATATCTGCTAACGAGGGATTTAAAAGGCAACACTGCATTGATCACTACGGTTTCAGTACACGCACACAGCCGGGCTTTGAGAAGAGAAACGAGCAGCTGCGGACCGAACCGCTGGGGAAGCTCTGCTGGCCCCCTGGATCCTGTGAGAGGGGGAATCTGAGTCAAAGTCATCACATCCACCAGCTGTCACCGCCGGCCGCTCCTGCTCCCGAGCTCGGTCATTGCGGTATTTTGGATTTGGCCACTGGTGTCTGCACCTCAAACTCGCGATATTTCAATCACTTTCAGCCCTCGCGCTTTTGGCTTCGAGTCTAATCCTGAATTGGCAGGATCGCAGCCATCTCGCAGAATCCCTAATGGTTATTGCAAAGTCACAAACTAAAACAAGACGTCCCAATTGGCTTCAAAAGGTGGATTAAAAATCGTTGCAGCCAAAAAACTGAGTGTGATTAAGGTCAAGCTCGGCATTGACCCGCTATTGATACACTCATGTCATGTTCTTCTTCCTTTTCTGGAATGAAAGGATTTGAAATGAACAAGCTTTGTGAATCTTAGAACAAACAACGTACGAGCTAGTTCAGTGGGCCTCTTGATGAATAAGCAAAGAGAAGCGAAGGACAAAATGTTTCTTTACATCCAACCTTTGTTACACCTCACCCCCCATGTCTCTGCCATACTTTCACATTAATGCCCTTTAAAATATTTAGCCTGCGTCAGGTGTGATGGCGAGCTACGCTGTGAGGTTTTTTCATAGTTTTTGCCAACTGCACATCTTCTGGCAGCTGCTACCTCAGAGGGTTCTCTCTGGATTCGGAGGCACAAACACGCTGTCAGGGTACAATGGTGCGATGTACAGAGGAGCTGCAACTCAGAAATACACCTGGATTCTCCCGCTTCCTTTCAGGAAGCTTTTTAAAATTCTGTGCACACCGTATTTAATCTTGCGTGAAAAAGGTTTTCATCTAATAGCGATTCTTTTTTCAGCAATTCAGGAGAAATTGATTTCTAAGCCGCATGTGATCGCCACTTTTCATTTGACTTAAAGAGACGTGTGATTTGACACTTGGAATAGTGTTGGGGCCCGCGTTGGAAATACTGTTACCAGTGGCGCCAATTATCAGCCCTCAGCCCCAGACAGCAATTATCTTGTCCAAAGTACGGCTGAGCAGAGAGACTTCAGGTCCAGCAGCCACCTGCTAAGTGCACAACTGAACGGATAGAGACAAGCTAGCTGCCATTATGCTAATGTGCGCAAACAAAACACACACTGGACTTCCATTTGCCAGCCATGGGTCCAGCCAAAGTAGCAAAGTCCACACAGAGCGGACTAGGCCGGTATGAATGAGCAGAGAAAGGGATCCACCACCATATAAGATGGTCAAATGCACAAACTTGCTCCATTGTGCAGTTTATATCCGTGAGCATACTCCTGAAATGCCCGGCCATATTAATTCGGTGGTCTTTTAAAGCCTTACAGGCAGATGATCGCAAAATGGGACTGACACCCCAAAATGCATCTATAAAAACTGTGAAGGGTGCATTCATGTGAAGTGGAGAACCTTTAGATACACCTACTCATTTAAAAGCTGGAGCATCTTTTCTATTTTTTTTTCTTCTTTTGAGCTTGCTCGAGTCAAATAAAATATTCAGGCTTCATCCCTGCAAGCTGAAGTCACTCCGGATGGATTTTTTCTGAATGCACACTCCGCCCTTTTCTTTCTTTCTATATCTCCGTCACACACACACACACACACAATTCCATAAACATACGCTGCTTTGCTCTGTGCTCTGTGTAATCTTCATGTAGCAGAGAACCCATTGAGAGTATTTATAACCCAATCAGACGGGTATTCAACTTTTTCTTCTCCTCTTTCCAGTGTTCGTGCCCTTGCTCCTGTGAGAATGTTAATGCCGCTCAATCAACACATCAACGTGAGTTCTTCGTTAGCCTGTCTGTGTGGGAGCAGGTGGGTATCCACGAAAGGAACATTTACGCCGAGACCAAAACTTGCGTGTTTGAATGAAAACACATAAATGTGCAGGCATGAAAGTTTAAAAAGCAGCGTGCACAATCTTAAGTGCCTTCCCACAGCTCTTTTGGACGATAATCACAGTTGTCAACTCAAGATGTGAAAATCAAGAACTCCAAATAGCTGAATTTTAGCTGAAAAGGGTACATTTTGGTAGTTGCATGTCATTTGCTGACATGCAACTACCTTGTTGCTATTTATTTTATTATAGCTCAGAGAGAGGAGTGTGTGTGTGTGTGTGTGTGTGTGTTAGATCTGGGATGTTAGAATTTCACCTTTAGTGAAATCTCGTCGAAAGTGACAAGCCGTGTCCCTGAGCGGTACCTTAGTAGTGGAAAGAAATACACGAGCACGGCAGGGTATGAATATACTTAGATGGTGTTTGTGTTCATGGGTTCATGATAATTGGCTGGTGACAAAGTCGTGTCTCACTTGCTTTCATCTGAAGAGGTGGGTGGTTGTTTTCCAGGGATATGTGTATCAGTGTTTTGGATCGTGTGAATAGCAAAAACTAAGGCTGTATTAAAAGAAATAATGTGTTAAATGATGGATGAGTAGCCAAAAAAGATGGTTTCTTGAGTGTACAAAAATAAAAGGTTATTACAGAGCTTTGTAAGAGCCTGTATGTGCTGCAACACACACGGTGGTTGTACAGGATATATTTGGCTATATTGTGTGCAATCAAAAAAAAACGATTTAAATGTTCTGAGCGTGTAGAGTTTCCCTTTTGGAAATGGTGTCCGGTAACCACAATACTTGTTAGTAGAGGAAAATTTTAAGAGACTGTAGGATGTAAAAATAAAACAATTTGAGAGGTGAATTGAGTAAACACTAATAGAAAATAGCATTCTCCATGTAAAGCCCTGAGGGGCCCTGGGGGGCCACAAGCGCCTGCTCCTGTCCAAGTGAGCACATGTGTCAAAACAAACACCCCTTTTGACCGCAGAGTTGTTCAGCTCGGATCTGTAATGATCTATAATTAAGCCTCAGCTCAGGATCTGCTGCATCCCGAATCACGCCATCGATGCACCAAGATGGACCACCGTCATCATCGGCGTTTAATGGCCCCGTTATTAGGTGCTAAAGAGGCCGTTACATGCAGAGAAATTACTGGGACAAAAAATAGCATGTTCTCAAAGAGATGCTCGGAGCCAGGGTCCCACACTGAGGAGAAAAGATGGCGTCTCACTGGTGTCTGCCATGCAGAACCATCCTTTCTATTTTATGAAAACAAAAGTCAATGTTGTAGACACACCTCATCAACACCCCGCTACTTCCTCTTTGGCGTGCCACATCAATCAAGCGCTTTAGTTCCGCCAGGCCGCACATCAATCACGCACTGATTTGGGAGTTTCGCGTAGTGCGGATACCCCCGCCGGGAATGCGCCGCGCGCGTGTCGTGTCTGAGAGGCAGTTCACTTTTACTGCCCTTGCATCATGTTTTGAGCTTCCATCAACGTCCACAGACGCCGCCGCGGTAGGACGGGGCGGGTGCAGCTGAGCCCGGAATGAATCCCGGGAGCGGCGAGTAACATCGAATGAGACAGGAATGATGAGAGAGGAGGAAAATGCGGGAACACAATGCACCCGCCAAAACGGCCTGTACTGTAATTGACAAACAGCAATCTATTAAAATGTGAAAAGTGGTGAAAAGTAAAAAATGTATTATGAAAATTACAAATTCAAAGCGGCGGTGAGGCCTTCTTCGCCTGCTGGAGAGTCAAAATCGATTTCTTGCAGGAGACATATTGCCCGTTTGAGTGTTGAATATTTTAATAGTCGTTGCATATGTGATGGCGCATAACAAGATGGGAAATGAAACAGATGACATGTGGCAAAGGTCAAACCTTTCTGCCGGGACCAGACGAGCTGTTTCAATTCAATTACCGATGCTAAACGGCTACGAGGCGGCTGTAGTCTGTTTGGAGCTCCCTCAGCAACTGCTAAATATTCATGTTTGACGATTTATCCATGAGCCAATTCCACTGCATTCAGTCTTTAAAACGTGTTGAT